TTTTTATTTATAAAATTGTACAATGACGAGAAAAGAGAATGCAGTAGCCAAATATTTTATTGACGCATTTTAATTATAATATACCGTTTCTCTTTTTGATGTACATGCTGTAGACTGGACAATATTGGCTGATTGTAGCATATTTTACAATATTGCGCTTGTTCATCGCGCTGATTCGCACATACGAATGCGTGTATCGAACATGATACGCGTATAATCACAGTAAAATTGCGAAAATTTCCTAACTTTCCGTTTTTCTTTTCTTTTTTCATTTTATTTTATCAAGTATTAAGAGCATTTTATTCCACTTTGTGTTCAGCGAGTATACGATTCGAGCGTATGATAAAGTTACGCCGTTACCACGCGTCTGGTATTTTATTACAAATCTACTGGATGACGATCACGCCTGCGTAATCGCCCTATCTATTGTCTGTGGCTGCGTTCAGAAACGACACCCGGGAGCACCCAATCTCTCAAACGCCGTTCAGAAACCAGTTGAGAGAACTGTAGCGCTATCTAAGTGACTCGTTCAGAAACGTTTTGAGTGCTCTCGATCGAGAGACTTTTACACCCTGAGCGCGGCAAACAGAATCGAATATACTGAGATTGTGTTCGGCAAAGTGCATCGGGCACAAGATTAATCTTTTTATCCTTGTTTAACATTTGGTGAACAGCAAGGATACCATGATACATCATGCGCATGATATGCTTTGCGGAACGCAGCCTGAATATATTAAATATACTAAATCAGTAAATGAGAATGGATTGAAAAAAATTTATTTTGATGTTCGCGTACTTTTGAAAATCTGAATCCATTTCAATATCCAATGCTTTTGTATTTATTTATAGGAATTGCATAAGCACATTTTCTATGCTATTCAAACAAAAAAAATTCTGCTTTAAAAAGTAAATCGTGAATATTAGTTAATTTCTAGATAGAAAATCTAAAATTCTAGATAGAAAATGCAGTTTTTTTCAAACTAATTAAATTCAAAAAAAGTTTTTACGTGAAAATGAATGATGAATGTTATATTCAATTAAATATTATGGCCAGGAAATCCATAATTGTTTCAACCTATCTAAATCCAAAAATATTACATTATATTAATATTATATTATATTCGTATTATGAAAAAATAAAAATGCATTTATTTCCACAGAGGCTAAACCCATTAATTTCGATCCATAAATTAAAAAATTGTAATCTATTTTAAATCTATTTCCTTTCTCGTTTTATACCGAAAAAAATGAAAACACCGTATTTGTCTAACGAGACAAACATAAGCAACAATTAGGCTCGTTGAAATATAGGCTGAATAATTAATACATAAACAAAATAGGATACAGTAGGCTTTAGCAGACAGGTCTGACGACCGTTTGAAGAATAAAGAAAGCAATTCGGCTGTGAGACACCGACGAATACAGACGTATAGACGAGTATAATAGCAGCATATATTAACAACTCAATAATAAAGTGAAAGATGAATAAGAATCATAATATTATAAGATTGGAGAAATGAAGATCATATTATATTATTTGATTCTAAAGGTAAGTAAAATATTTTTTACATTAATCAATTGTAATTTACAATGAAATTCGATATATTATATTCTGTCATATTGTACGTAAAAAGTTACTGCATGATAACTCTAGCCTTTTTCTTAATAAGTCAATTTATTTATTAAATATTGATTTCTAAATGTTATTGAGTAAAATTAATGTCTAATCTTGACCGCATCTATACG